ACGGGAGCCAAAGCGCCACCCCATGGAGTTCCTGTTAATCACAAAGGGGAAGAACTGTAGCTGGCAGTGCGTCACCACCTTAGCCAAGTGACCACACTCTGCATCACTGAGAGAGGGACAAGGGAACATCAGGGGTCGATGAAAGGGACGACCGCGTCATGCACAGCGCTGGATATTAAGTCTTCTTGCCAAAAGTACCTAACCAGACTCTAATCAAGCTCTGGAAATAATAAGACAAATCCAGAATGTGAGGCATTCAATCCGATAGCTGGCCAAAACACTTCTAAAAGTCAAAGTCCTATGAAAAGAAAAAAAGATGAGGAGTACGGAACTGCTCTTTCATGAGAGAGACATAACCACCAAATGCAGGGCACGGGTCCTGACTTTAAAAAGAAACGAACAGCTATAAAAAGTGTTCCTATGAACACTGGAAAAATTTAAATAGGGATGGAATATTAAACCCAAAATCAAACCCGTTGCCGTCAAGTTCTCCCTCATAGCAACCCTACAGGACAGAGTAGAACTGCCTCATAGGGTTTCCAAGGAGTGGCTGGTAGACTTGAACTGATGACCTTGTGGTTAGCAGCTGAGCTCTTAACAGCTGTACCACAGGGCTCCGGACAGAATACTAGATATTATGAAATTAATTTTATTTTCTTAGGTGTGATAATATAACTGTGGTTGTGCAGAGAAATGTCCTCATTCTTAGAAGATGCATTCTGAAGGATCTGGGCCGTGATACTGGCGATGTTTTGTGAAATGGCTAAACCACCACCTCCACCCACAGATAAAACAAACACGGTCAATGTTAGCTGCAGATCTCGTGCAGGGGATCGGGGTAGCCACAGTATTCTTCTACCTGCTTTATGTGGTTGACCATGCTCTCAATACAAAGGTGTAAAAAAATTAGCTTCTCGTTGATGACATGCTATTTCCACTCATCTCACTGTTGTGCACTTCTGTTTACAAGGCTGTCCCCCTCTCTCGGACAGGGCCCCCCTCCGACCTGCAGCCTGTGAGCATCTCCTAGGGGTCTGCAATGACACAAGGTGCTAGGCACAGTCCAGTGGACTCAGTTATTGCCCTCGTGGGGCTTCTGTTCGAGGGGCCAGATCATATCAGGAAATAACGAACGTGAACGCACTGACTCAGGAATGCAGGGGGCTCAGGAGGTGCAGAGTAGGGACAAATGACCTCGTCTGAGGGCTGAGGGAGGAGGGAAGCTTCCTGGAGGAAGTGGCATTAAACTGGGGCACGTGAGGAGGGAAAAGAGACTATTCATGAGGGGCAACCAGCTGCCTGAATACCTGCAGAAGAGTATGAATGAGGATTTCCAGGCTGGACTATGACAGGGCGCAGCAGAGATGAGGTGTAAGAGAGGTCCTTGTGGGCCACCTAAAGGAGTGTGGACTGTACTAGGGCCAATAAGAAAACGCAGAAGGGTTAGTTTAAGCAGGGCACAACCTGATCCCGTGTAGGATCCTCCAGGTGTTGCTAAGGAACACGCCCTAGATGGGAGTAAGCCTGGAGAAGCGTGCCATGTAGGAGGTTGGTGCAATCTTGTTGTTAGCTGCCGACGAACTGATTCTGGCGCACTGCGACCCCATGTGTGCAGTGTAGAAATGATTCATAGGGTTTTCAAGGCTGTGACCTTCTGGAAGCAGATCACCAGGTCTTACTTCTGAGGCACCTCTAGGTGGGTTTCGACCACCAACCTTTTGGTTAGTAGCCCAGCACTTCACCATTTGTGCCACCCAGGGACTCCTAGTGCAAACTAACAGGCAAGAAATACTTGGGGGACAGATGTGGATGGAAATGAGGGACAGGCAGGAATCCCAATGGGTGCTATCTGCTGACCAACTGGCTGTATAGTGAGGGTGAGGGAACAGGGCAGTAAGACATGCGGCCTGGGGGCGCCACTCCATGAGCAGGGAAACGTGGGACAGGGTGGGGTGGGGGACAGAGGGTGGTGCCATGAGTTCAGGGTTAAGTGCATGCAGAGAGACACTGAAGACACCCTGAGAGCCACCCATGTGCAACGCCAAGAGGGCTGTGAAGAGAGGGGGCGTGGAGCCCGGAAGAGACCAGGATGGAAATATGGCTTTGAGAGTTGTCAGCATATAAAGTTAGTAAGGCCACGAGCAATCCCAAGCTCAGTGGAGTGAGAAGAGCTCTGAAGAGAATCACAGCTGGTCTGGGCAGAGGCTGTGAAGGACCTGCTCTTCATCTCTGTACCCCAGGGCCTAGACCCGCCATAGGCAGCACACCACAGGAAACACCGCCTTAGTGCCCACAGGCCACTAGCAGAAAAAGACCAACAGTATCAAGGGCTAACAACTGCTTTTTTAAATATAAGAACTTTGTAAAACTTATAACTACACAAGTGCACTTACTAACATTACCCGCAATCATTTACTTCAATCTCAATTGCAAAGACGGTAAAACTGACAATTTTTTTTTTTTACTGAGTCATTACAATGTGATGTTATGATTATAAACATACATTGCATGGATTCGAAGAATTTGATTCTTCAGCGTGGATGATGGACTAATTTAGAACATTCTAAAACCAAATACTCATTTATACGCGCTCTAAAAATCCCATTTTTTTTCCCTTTCTTTTATTGTGCTTTAGGTGGATGTTTACACAGTAAATTAGTTTCTCATTCAATAATTCAGACACAATTGTTTTGTGACACTGGCTGCAATGCCCACGATGAGTTAACACTCTCCCCTTTCCCAGCTCGGGTTTCTTGTGTCCATCCATCCATTTTTCCTGTCCCTTCCTGCCTTCTCGTCTTTGTTTTTGGGCAGGTATTACCCGTTTGGTCTCGAATACTTGACTGAAGAAGCATGCACCTCATGTGTGTTACTGTTTGTTTTACAGGCCTGTCTGATCTTTGGCTGAAAGGTGAACTTCAGGAGTGGCTTCAGTTCTGAGTTAAAAGGGTGTCCCGGGGCCACAGTCCCAGAGGTTCCTTCAGTTTCTGTCACGCCAGTAAGGAGGATCTTTTTTTGTGATTTTGAATTTTGTTCTGCATTTTTCTCCTGCTCTGTCTGGGGCCTTCGATTATGATCCCTGTCAGAGTGGTCGGTTAAAAAGCCCGTTTTAAAGTCAATATAAATGTTTCTGGAAATTCATATATCAAACAGTGAAACTCCCAATACCAACCCAACACCGTGGGCAATGAATGCGCATGGTGACGCCCAAGACACTGGGCCACGATGCTGATGAAAACTCCCCTTTACATCCAATACGTGAAATGACGTGATAACATAAAAACGCCTACTACGTGATTAGAGTGGCAGTGCAAGTCGTCCACGGAATCATTCAATTGTCTCCATTTGCTGAGTTTTAGAAATTTTCAGTATAATTTCTTATGACTGCACTTCAAAAGTTAAGTCATATCACTGTTGGAGACTTCGTCTGACACAGGACACCACACAAAACTCCTCTGACAACTTTCCCATCTCACTCAGAGAGATTAAGTGACCTGCAGTCTCAATAAAAGGAGCCCTGGTGGCGCAATGGTTAAGCGCTCCACCGCTAACCAAAAGGTCGGCCGTTTGAACCCACACAGTGGCTCTTTGGGAAAAGGACCTGGTGATCTGCTCCCATAAAGATTACAGGCTAGGAAACCTGTGGGGCAGTTCTCCTCTGTCATATTAGGTTGTTATGTGCTGGCACTGACTCAACGGCTCACGACGACGACAAGCTGAATAAACAAGACTTTCTCTTGACATTTTTGATGTTGTATGGTCCCCTCTCAGCCTCTGCTGAATTAACAATAATGAAAACTTTTTCTAACATTTCTGATATTCCTGAGATTTTTACACATTCAATCTTTCTATTATTGATTAAATCATGAAAATAATTTACTGGAACATAATATTTAGTTAGGTCAAACCTGATGTTTGAGGCCAGACATGAAAAGGTGCAACATGATGATGAAGGACAAGGCTCTTGGCCGAGCTGGGTTCAGACTCACACTAAGTTAAAGTGTAAATGACCCCTCTAGGCTTCAGTGTCCTCATCTGTAAAACCAGGATGGGGTGACAATGGTAATCACAGTCAGAGCATCAGAACACCGCCTGTCAGAGCTGCACTACATCCACATTCGTGTTCATTTTTATTAACACATTAATGTGGTGGATGCCTCGACAGGCAGGCCTGTAACAAATGTGTCCATTAAGTGGAGGTGAAGTACAACAGAGACAAAGAAAAGGGAGACTCACAGGTAAGGCGTTTGTCTCTCAAGTGCCTCTGTGGGCTGGCTGTCCTGTTCGCAGGAGTGCCCTGGACTCAAGCACCTTCTCCGTGGTGGCCCCATTACCAAACACCTGCTGGCTCTCCTGGTCTCTCGCAGGCTCGCTGAGAGCTAGTGCTGTGTACTGCAGTTTCCACAAGTGGCCACACGAGGGAGTCTCTGGGCGAGCACAAGCTGGCAGCCTGTCTCAGCAGGCCAGACGGACCTGAGGTGGCTCCCTCAACAGTGTCCACTCAGTGCCCTCCAGTCCAGTGACTAGGAGGCAGGACTTTAGGGAATCTGGGTGGCATAGGCAATGACCAATCAGATCAAGAGGTTGGCAACAGTACTGGAATGGGGTCCTGGCTGTGGTGGTAGCTGAGAGGTGGAGACCTTGGGGGCAGTGACTATTTAACCCTTGGTTAAGCACTTGTCTGGTAACCAAAAGGTTGACAGTTCGAACCCACCCAGAAGCTCCACAGGAGAAAGACCTGGTGATTTGCTTCCATAAAGATCACACCTAAGCAAACTGTATGGGGCAGTTTTACTTTGTCCTATAGGGTCACCGTGAGTCGGAACGGACTCGACGGCAACAGGAACCCAGGCTAGCTGAGCATCAGTCCTGCTGAGGTGAGCCATGGGTAACTGCCATCTCTGAATAAATCGATGACATGGAACCACAGTGAGTAGTCAAATGTGTGCCTAAAACACGGCCGGCTGTCATTAAAGGTACACAGAGAGGTAGCTACTTACCTTGGGCTGCATATCTACAAGAGCCATCCTCCACCAGAACATTATAGAAAGGCTGATGATGGCCATGAGGCAGGCTGTGGACGTTCATGTTTCGGATCCATTCATGTCCCATCATGCAGGTGGGGTCCCAGCCATAGATCACACAGTTATAGCCATACCTGAGGAACACGAGAGCAAGGACAAAGCCATTCCCTGAGCCCTGACTCAGCAACTATGAAACGTACAGGTCACCGCTTGGCTTCTCTTGAGCTCACATTCTTACAAATCTCCCTCTTTTACTCCATGTTGGGTCATTTTCCAGGATGGCTCCCCAGCCCCATCTCTTCATAAATCCCTCTTACTATCAATAGAGCACTTCATTTGGAAAAGAATAAACTTTTCAACAAATAGTGATGGGACAACAACTGGTAATCCAAATGGAAAAAGGTATGAGACTCCGACCTGACAACACATACAAAATCAATTCCTACTAGAACAAAGCCCTAGACGCAAAACGCAAAATGCAGAACTTTTAAAATATAAAATATATTCAAGACTTGAGATAAGGAAAGATTTCTTAAACAAGGCACTAAAAGTACAATCCATAAAGGAAAGAGCAATAAATTTTACATCATTGAGACATTAAAGGGCCTTAATTCAAACAGAGGAGCCCTGGTGATGTAGTGGTTAAGTGCTCAGCTGCTAACCGAAAGGTCGGTGGTTTGAACCCAGCAACTGCTCTGACGGAGAAAGACGTGGCAGTCTGCTTCCGTAAAGATTACAGTCTAGGAAACCTTATGGGGCAGTTCTACTCTGTCCTATAGGGTCATAGGAGTTGGAATCGACTCAATGGTAATGGGTTTGGTTAATTCAAACATTGTTAAAAACGTTACAGGACAATTGGGGAAACACAAACTGACTAGATATTTGACAATATTAGGGAATTGTTTATTTTTTAAATGTGCTAACAGGACGTAAATGTATTAAAAAAAAAAAAGAGCCCTTACCTTTTAGAGATACAGACTGAAATAGCTACAGACGACCTGACCTCTAGAATTTGCTTCAATTCAGCCCAGGGAGGAGAGGGTGAGGGGTGGGGATGAAACAAGACTGACTCTTCGACCTGAGATGGTAACTGTGGAAACTGGATGATGGCAAGATCATCCGGTTCACTGTACTCATCTCTCTACTCTTACATATGCTTGAAAATTTCCACAATAAAGTTAAAAAGAGAAAGAAAGAAAGAGAGAGAGACACGATAAGAGAGTGAAAAACATCAGCCAAAAACTGGGAAAAGATATCTACAACATATACTGACATAGACTAGAATTCAGAGTAAAGAAAGACTCCAAATCAGTAAGGGAAAGATTAATAACGCACCAGAAAAATAAGCAAAATGCTTGAAGAGATGCTTAACCAAAGAGGAAACTCAAACTCGACTGGCCAGTAAACATACGAAAAGAACCTCAACCTCCTTACTAATGACAGAAATGAAAATGAAAAGCACCACAAAGTACCATGTGCACTTTACTACACAATCACATTTTTACAGGTCTGGCAATAACAAACGTTGGCTGGTGGGACATAAATCAGTGCAATCACTTTGGAAACAGTTCGGTTTGGCTGAGTAAGCTGACCATGTGCATATGCCAAGCGGTAGCATATCCCCACCCACAACTCAGAGTCAGGGATCGAGATGAAAGGAGAACAGAGGAACAATGAAGACATGAGAGAAAAGCTTGTTGCTTACAGAGCTGTCTGTATTCTCATGCACAGGGAAGAGTCAAACCTCTAAAGGGCACTAAAAACAGTAGAAAATCTCAGTAACGGAAGCAAGCTGCTTCCTAAAAACAAAAAGGTTAATGATGCAACGGTCACCTGATCTTCGATAAGGGCCCAAAGTCCATCAAATGGGGAAAAGACAGTCTTTTTAACAAATGGTGCTGGCAAAAC